CTGTCCTGACTGTAGCCTATCAGGTGAAATAAGCCCTGTTCCTCCACAAATTGCTTTTGATTGTTGTGGCTATTACAACAGTATAAAGCAGACCAGGACAGATGTTGGAATCAGAATTGGGGTTTTGTTGTGACGGACCTGACCGTGGTGTTTTGAGGGAGGGTTGTTGAAGTGTTTGAAACTCTGGGCTGGAAAAAAAATCTCTTGAGTGTTCAGAGCTTAATGGGTTGTCATGTGAGAGCTTGGATGGGAGGAATGTTGAGAGAAATGCAAATAATGGAAGCCTGGCTTATGATACTTCATAGAGAAGCCAAGACTATTATGTCTGTTTGTGTGATGTTTTAAATTAAGAATCTGTGGCTGGATTTGAAGAATCAGCTGTGATTAACAAGAAAGTCACCCAAGTGAGGTCTTCTGGGAAGTATTTCCTTGGGGTCAGCATACAGAAGCAGTGGTCCAAGGCAGCCAAAGCTACCCTCAAGCTGCTGGCCAACCTTTGTAAAAGAGTCTCCCACGCAGGGCTGTTATTGATGGCAAGAAATCCGCAGGGCTGAAGGTGTCATAGAGAAAAACTGAGTCTTGCCACCAGAGGCCATTGGTGAAGGTGCAGCCTTGGAGGAGTGGAGACGCCTGTTTTGGAGGGATCACATCGAGAAGCCGAGACTTAGCACCAAGTGGCAAGGCTGGAGTCTTATCAGAGAGGCCAGGAGTGTGCTGGTGGAGGTGCAGCTTTAGCGGTGGATATCGGAGATAACAGGATCGTGGAACACCCCCCAAGGAAAGTGCTTGATGTGGAGTCATGCCAGCCGACACCTACAAGACAAGCTGTGCATGGTATGTATGGGTTGTAAAGTCAGAGGGCTGGAGTTACCTACCTCTGGAGCCCAGAAGATCTTTAATGAGTGCCAGGCGATGGACACTGAGCTTCTTATGCTGCTCAGTTTGGGTTCCTCTGCAATATTCCTAGAGGGAAGAATCAGGACAGGATTACAATACCTGATTCTTCCCTCTAGGAATAAGGAAATATGTAACTATATGTAACTTTTTTTTTTTAATCTTATAGGAACCTACAGAATAGAGTCTTTAAACTTTGAAAGTATTAATGTTTTAAAAACTGTGGAATGTTTCAAGCTGATTTGGGGGACAGAAATTGAAAGTCTGGGTCTTAAAGTGACATGCTGCTATCAAGTGGACAATGTGTGGATTGCCCTAGCTAGTGTTAGCTGTTGGACCAGGATTGTTTGAAGGCATCTCAGCTGAGGAACTGCCTAGATAAGACTTTTTTTTTTGGCACTTCTATGGTGTTTTCTTGGTTACTGATTAATGTACGTGGTCTCAGCTTCAGCTTCTGTCCTGCCTAAACTCCTGCTTTGATGCCCATCAGTCTTGGGGTACCCCAGTAATATGAAGTCAACCGTTTCTTCCCCATTGCTTGTGGCAATGATGTTTATCACAGAAAGCAAAATAGATCAGGTTCCTTAGCAACCCTTTAAAGATAAAAGTTTCAAAAGCCACCGAAAAATCCTCTACAGGACTAATGTAAGTACAATGAAGGGAGACTCTCTCTCTTAGAGAAACCACACCCATTCTCTCAGCTGCATTTCATCTGAAATATCTCCTCCTTTTTACCCTCTTGCTTAAAATGTATATAGACACATCTTTTAATAAACCACAACTCTGCTTTCTACTGGCTTTTCGGAAATCCTTTTGTGAGTTGAAACCAAGAATCTGGTTTTAACTGAGTCAAGTCTTTCAAAGACAAGGGGACTCCTCAGGCTTTTGTATGTGATAGTATAGAGCTGAAACTTTGTCTCTGTTGCCAGTGACAGTCTTTCATGAAGAGGAAGCTAGAGGGCCTGGGGGCCTCGACTCATCTCAGAAGCTGTGGAAATTCACAAGTGTCATTCTGACTTTTCAGCTCTAGGACTCTATGGCGGCCTCTCCCCTCTTAGCCTAACAAGGATGAGCTATAACAGCAGAGTGACAGTTCTGTGAGGCTCAAAACTGCAACCTACTCGTGGAACTGGATTCTAGTAGTCAGCCCCCTCACTGGGTGTATGTGTTGTCTGTGAGTTATAAAGAGATACAAAATGCTTTTACTAGAGGCCAAGATCTGGGCTGGATGATTCCAGATTTTTTGGCCTCTTATTGAAAGAATTAAAAATAACAAGTCATGCAGATTTGCAAAAGAAACGAGGTAATTTTATTTGGAGATAAGCAATGTTATAGATTAAAGATAGATCTATTATATTTTTCATTTTTTAATTTTTTCTTCACAATTAATTCATTATATATCCCAATTGAAGTTCCCTCCCTCAACTCTCCCAGCCCCACCCTCCTTCTTTCTTCCCCTCATCCCCTTTCACCAAGTTCACTGAAAGGGGGAGTTCTCCACTATTGCCCTCTGCCCATAGCTTGTTAAGTCTCATCAGGACTACCTGGATCCTCTTCCTCTGTGGCCTGGCAAGGCTGCATCATCATGAGAGAGTGATCAGAGAGCAGTCAATGGAGTTCATGATAGAGACAGCCCCTGCTCCCCTTATTCAGAGATCCACATGGAGACTGAGCTGCCAGTCAGCCACATCAGAGCAGGGGTTAGGTCCTCTCCATGCATGGTTCTCTGTTGGTACATCAGTCTCTGCAGGACCCCCTGGGCTCAGATCTTTTAGTTTTGTTGGTCTCCTTGTGGGGCTCCTGTCCCCTCCATGTCCCTCTAATCTCACCCTTCTCTTCCTCCATAAGACTTCCTGTCCTCTGCCCAAAGTTTGGCCCTGAGTAGATGCCCTGTTGGCTGAATCCTATCAGAGGACTCTCTATAGGAGACTCCCATCCTGTTTCCTGTCTTCTACCGCTTCTGGTATCTATCCTGTTTGCCATTCTGAATGAGATTTATGTGTCCTCCCTAGGGTTTAGCTTCTTTAGGTATGCAGATGGCTGTCCTATATTCTATGGCTAGTATCCATTTATTAGTGAGTGTATAGATGGATGTATTTTTAAAGATAGATAGTAGATCTAACGAACAAAAGCTCTCAAGAGCTTTAAGCGGCAGCCTGAGCTTTTATAGGGTTGAAGGAAAGAAGGTTTGGTGATGAAGGAATGTAGTTAAAGTAGGTTCTCTACGTAGGTTGATAGCTTATTTCTCTATTGTGTATGTCCCTTCCCAGAATTCTTTATATTCAAATTTGTTGGGAATACACTTGAATAGAAACTGCCAAACACCTGGCATGCCTGAAATCCCAGTACTCAGGAAGGCAGTGGCAGGCAGATCACTGAGAGTTCGAAGCCAGCCTGGTCTACAAATCCAGTCCAGGACAGCCAAGGCTACACAGAGAAACCCTGTCTTGAAAACAAAACAAACAAACAACAACAAAAGAAAAAAAACAAAAAATAAGAAAAAAAAAAGAAAGAAAAAAAACCTGTCTATATTTGATTATTACGTGGAGTGGGGAAACTCATATTTTTGTTATATAGCCTGAGGCAGATGGAGGGGTCAGGATTCTGAGGTTGCTACGCACATTGTTTAGAGAGAAGTGTGTGTGCAAAGAACGTGCAGGTGGAGAAATGACACAGCCAAGTACATCAAAACACATCATTACAAGAAAGAAGGTGCACTAAATCACCTCCTTGCCTTCCTCAATAGCGCCCCCACCCTCCCAGAGCTCAGGATATATTCAGGGAACCAGACACATATGTGTGAGCTAGACGTCACCCCATTAGGTGGATGACAACACACCACCTGCTGCTGAGGACGTGGGGACGACAGGATGACAGCTGGTCAGAGCTGAGAACATGTGGGGACAGGGTAGCCCCGGAGCTGTCCTTTCAGAAGAGCTGGAATCCCAGTGTGAGGAGCCCAGAAGGGCTGGCGCAGAAGAACGGGGAAGTTGACTTTTTCTTTTCCTTTGAATTAATTAAAGGATAGTACCTAGAAACAAATCCACAGCAGGCAACTTCATGCTCTGCCAATGAGCTGCTCCCTGTGTTGTGGAGTTTTCTTTCAAAGATCATCTTTAGCCGTTTTTTCTTAACAGACTTTAAATCATGTCTTTCTACGTGAACAAATGCGAAGCTGGACAAAAGCAGAACCCTTCTTAGGCTTCTCTGGGAAACTGAACTGTTCACCACATGTAAGTTGAGGCTTCACTTTTTCCCCTTGATTCGGCTGGTATTTTTTGAGTCTGTGCAATAATGGAAAGAAACAGGTTAAAACAAACAAACAAATAGACAGACAAACAAACAAACACCCAGGCTCCTGGCAGGTGCTTGGAGCCAGAGTGCCTTGCAGACTCCAGATAGAGCGCAGAGGGAGACTGCTACCTCCAGTCGGGGCAGTCAGTGGACCCTGGGGAAAGCACGAGGCACCTGAACAGCCGGTTAAAGCATGTAATATGCCCCCCATTAAACATGTGAAATGACCTTCAGGTGACCTCCAAGGTGTAGAAGCATCATTCTGTGGCTTCAGCCCTCTGCTCTGCTTTTTGGAGCCTTCTGATACCAACGGAAACCCCGTTATGATTCCATAAGCCTCGGGAGTATCTGCCAGAAACGGGGAGAAATAAGGAAATAAGGCCGGATAATTGTTGCAGTGGGCTTTGTTTTGTGGAAGTTAAAATGCCGGGGCAAGAACCTGAGTTCTCTCTCTCTCTCTCTCTCTCTCTCTCTCTCTCTCTCTCTCTCTCTCTCCTCCCACCCTCCCACCCCTTCTCTCCCTTCCTCGCCCACCTCCCACCTTTTTTGGCTCTCTCCCTTCCCTTCTCTGGATTCCCACTTCTGCCCCCGACACCTGGCGGGAGGAGAACCTTACAGGTTGTCAATGAAACATGGAATTATTTCCTTTGATGGCTTAGATAATAGTAGAAGCCAAAGCAATGAGTGAGGTCGGCCGAGACCAATGCAGTCCTGCCCGGGACTGGAGAGCCAATCACAAGAGCAGGAGGCGGGGCGTCGGCGCCAGCAGATAATTGCTAAGTGCATTGCTAGCACAGTTGGTCCGAGCTGCTGAAAGGTCTGGTCGCAGAGACAGGAACGCAGCATCCTCAGCGTGCTCCATCCCGGCAGCGTCCTCCTGCGCTCGCCCGCCCGGGCAGCGAGCCTCCGGATAACAAACAGCTCCTCTGCTTCTCGGAGAAGGTACCTTTATCTGTGTCCCGGGAGAGGGGGCTGCTTCCGCTGTGTTTTCGCACAGGCTTGCTGTAAGCACAGGTGGAGGATTGCAGAGAGAAAAGTTTAAGGGGAGGACAGGTGACAAAGGTGGAGACCCGCTGTCTTTTGTTGGGAGGAAAGCAAGCCTACAATTCGGAAAAACTTCTGCGCCCGCCGATCAACAGCTAGGCTTGTTTACTACTCTTAATTAGCTGCGCTCTGGTCCATTAAAATGGGTCTGGTTGGGGGATAGAGGACCTGCAGGGTTAGAGTGTAGATTTAGGTTTGCTGGGTGACTGAGGCTGGACCGCTCTCCTGGGCCAGAATGATGCTGTGACCGTACCCGTGAGCTGGTTCCAGAAGCAAGCTTGATTTGGTTGGATTTTCTGCCATCGGGTCTGCCCTGTCCACAGTACTTTGACCTGCCTTGCCCAAACTGTCGTGACCTTCAACTCCAGTCCTTCCAAAACTTTTCTCATCTTTTCCTGGGCCACTTTTGCCCACTCCATCTTAATTGGTCTTCAGTTGGTGAAGAGTGAAATTTCATAAGGGTGTAGGACCCTGTCCTGTTTGACCGTTAGCATCTATCTGCACATCACCCAACTTATTGAAAAATAAAACCCTTGCCATCGACAAAGAAATCACCTCACTGATTAGCTCCTGAACACTCTGGAAGACTTTCTTGATGTGGTGTGTCCCGAAAGGGGGTGGAGATGGAGATGGATTTTTATCTCAGTGTGATTTACACTCCTATCAGAGGAAGGTCCTAGCAGCTCTGGAAGTGAGGCCAGTGGGAGGGGAAGTCGCCGGGAGGGCTAGGCTGTCCAGATGCTCAGGTGCATTTGTTCAGGTAGCTGGTGCTGGAGTCCCTGCCCGCACTGCTTCTGATAAGCGCTCTTCAGGCAAAAGAGCTCGCCATGGGCCATGGCTGGTTCTCGACCATTCCACATTGTGTGACCGCAAGGGCCGCGCTTGCCCGAGACCCACTTTCAATCCCGGAGATAGCTCCTTTCTGTTAGCCTCCGCCACCGGGAAGTGTGTGTGTGGGGGGAGTGGACCTTGAGGAAGTGTGGTGGAGGTGAAGGCGATGTATCTGGCCCTGGACTCCTGGCTTTCACACACAGGTAGCTCCTGGTTTTGTTTCCTGTCACAAGGCATGCAGTGGTCAGCCATACCCGCCACATCCTCTGAAGTTGCCAGTCTCCAGGTGAGATTACAGTTCCCTGGGGTTTGAGGGAGGTGGAAGTCCAGGTGACTTTCCTCCATGTGATTTCTGCCCTAGACCTGAAGCCATAAAAGAGTCCCGATGGGTGTTCTGGGAGGGGTTTTCATCAGTGCCGCAACCCTGTGACCCCCCTCCCCCCATCTCAGAGGTGCAACTGCCTTGATTCTTCTGCTCCACAAATCATTCCTGCTTTCAGTTCCTATTTTCGTCACTACCACACACAACAGGTTCTCCTTCACTTCCTTTCAGCGACTGTTTTGGCTGGGAACTGTTATCATGGAAGTTCTACTCCCCGATGGTTGGAGAAATAGCAGCCTAGCTGCCCGTGGTTGGAGTTGATGCCAGCCCTCTTTTTGTACACATGTCGGCTGGAAGTACCTAAAGAAACCCTGGACTCTGCATAGCATGACTCCTGGTATCCAAGGTCCCTGAGAGGTGCTGAACTTTTCTAGGTTGTTGGGGGCAGATCTAAGGGACTCCTCCCTCTGTGATGTAAGGCACATGATCCCCCAAAGAGGCCATGGGGTCAGTACTTAGAACTGAGAAAGTGACGTGAATGCAGGCATCCCCCCTCCTTTATGAACATAGCAATAAATTAGGTAAGCTTTTTACATTTGAGGGGTGTCTTGGGTCAGAAGCCAGGGGTAGAACTTAGGGTTCCCCCTTCAATTCATGCCAATCTGTGATCTGTCTGTTGATGTCTATCATGATAGAGAACATTAAAGCCAGGCTTTTTAAAAACAGCTCCTTGTGGTGACTCATGCACAGAGGAAAGGGCTGGGTGGGGGAGGGAGCCGAGGGAGCTTTGAAAAGTACAAGTGGGACACGCTGGAGCGCTTGCTTTTCCTCCCTCTCCCTCCTCCTCATTCTTCTTCCTTGTATTTCCTCATTTGGAACAGAGATCATTAAAATAACAACTTAAGCTAAAAAAAAAAATAATGAGTATAAGAGCTGGAGAGTAGTTGACAAAACCCCAATCCCCTCCCCACCCCCATGACAGCTTCACCTTGGACGGTGTGGTCACAAACCCCAGGCCCCTGAACCTTTGCTACACAGTTTGGAGGATGTAATCACTGGTATGTGGCTGATTAACTCATTGTGAAGCCAAGCGCTTGCTTGCTTGCGTGTGAAGGGACTGATGGGTGCTCAGGAAATTCAATTTGTTAGTTGTCATCTCGTCGAATTGAACATGATAGCTTTAGCTAGGAACCTGGGTGGGCTCCATGGATCCACCTGGCATTTCTCTCCTCAGCTGGCCAGCCAGGACTTCTGTCACTGAGCTACTTCGATGAGAAGGGCTACATCCTTCCACTATTCCAAGCCCAGTATGATCCCCCTGGCAAATGGGAGACTTCCTCTACTCCCCTGGACCACCAATCCTCTCCCCCCACCATCCCTTTCTGTGATAAACACGTCAATAAGTAATCTCTTTTCCAACCTGCCTTGATCTCATCTTTTTGTGCAGATTTTGCAGTTAAATAAAATTGTGCCCAGAAACAGGATTGAAAACATATTAAAAAAAAAATCTTTTTTTTTTTTTATCAGAGAAGTGTCTTTTTGTTTTCTATTTTAAAATTTAATTTTGTGGTTTTGGGTAAATCAAATAAGCAGGTTTATTGGGTTAGGTGTTTTGGTAAATGCTGTCATGATGTCTCCTTTCTCTTTGTGGATGTATGAATTTCCCAGAGATCCTCAGGGAGGGGTTTATCTGAAGGTTTGAAGCAGTCTGGAACATCCCTGAAAGTTGACAAGACTAAGTCACAACGTGCCTCGGTTTATTCAAAATGGGGGGGGGGGAGATGGCTGTCTTGAAATATAGGCTCAGAAATATATTCTCCATGTTCAAGTGTCCTCTGGTTTTTGTTTGGGAAAATTTCAAAAGCCCAAAGAAGGAGTAAACAGTTCATTTGACTCACTTTCCCATACACTCACATCTCCATCCTTCATCCCACCTGAAGCAGGTACCCTACCCAATTTGGTAGGTAGCTGTACTTCCCTTTCCTTCCTCCATCTGGTTCTTCCCATCATTTCAGGCCCCTACGTGAGATGTTCTCAGAGACACCCTGTGCACTTCAGTTCAGAAAGTGTTAAGAGGACATCCCAGAGATGCTGGGTTAGCCGAGGGGTCCATGAAGTCATCCTTTTAGCAAGTTCAGTTTTATCTCAGACCTCAGCAGGGTTCCTGGGTAGAGTGTGTTGCTGCTGTGTGTGAGGCAGGCGGGGCGGAGGCCTCCGGGCAAAGGCGATTCCCACCAAGTCCAGGGCCCCACTGCTGCTCCACCGTCCTGAGGACCACTCCTCCACCCCCCTCCCACAGCCTCCACACCGGTCCAACTGGGTAACATTTGGAAACATTTGCGGACAGTGCAGTTTGTCTGCGCTCTCCCTATTTCTTTGTTCTCTTTTAACCCTAATCCATCAGTAGCTGGAAAAGATCAAATTTACTCCCTTACACTAAGTCAACAGTGTGGCAGAGGCATTGACGTGTTTCTTCTGTATTTGTAGAATGCATCACACTGCCACTGAACCACACTCGCATTGGGGATTTGAGTACCTGACAAAAGCCAGAGACGTCTGTAGTAGTAAGTTCAGGCATCTGCCAGCAGCCCAAGGAAGACGGAGCTGGAGAGATGCAAACGGAGAGTGTGGACCTTCGCTAGTCAGCTGAGACACTGCTGTGACTATTTATGGAGTTGTGGTAGTATTTGGAGTTTTAGCTGGGTAGAGTGGCACATGCCCACAGACAGGAAGATCTGGGGTTTAAGGAAAGCTTAGGCAAGATAGAGACCCTACCCCCAACCACCACTGAGAGACAGAGACAGACAGAGACAGAGAGACAGAACGAGAAGGACTATTGGGTCTGGCACTTTAGCTCCGGGATTTGATCTTGGACATCATACTCATTTGCTCTTTTTGGCTTTTAGTTTCCTCCCGAAGATTGGACTGTGTTCTTCTAGGTCTCTTTCTGCAGTGACCTTCCCTTTTGATCTTGCCAGGGCGTCTACCTCCTGCTGTGGAGGCCACAGCTCTGCAGTCTCCAAGGCTGCCATGGTGACTGGTCAGGCTTTCAGAACTAGGATCTGTGAAGACAGGTCAGGAGGCATAGTGGATGGTGTGCCAGGAGAAAAACAGGCTGAGGGGTGATGTCATAACCAATTCTGGTTTAGGAGGGGATGTTAGACGGAGGATGGCGACCAGCTGTTCCCCATCTCCACTAAGGATTGAACGAGAGAAAATAGACAGAAATTGCAGCAGATGGACTTAGATTAGGTATGAGGAAGAATTTTCCATCAGCAAGATTTTTTTTTTTTTAAAAGGGAAGGTTGTGAGCCTCCACAATAATCTTTAAGAAATGGATAAGCTGGAGACGCTAGTTGGGGCTGGAGGACTGTCAGCTGGTAAAGGGGAGGACTCCTTGAGCTTCAGGATCCATCTCTATCCTGGAGAAGGACCTAACAATCATTTCTCCCAAACTACACCCTTGACTCTGGGGCTGGCATTGGAAGTGCCTGGGGGCAAGTATGGAATGCAGGGAACCCATGAAGCTCCGTGGGTAGATCCCTTCCCTCTGCCCTGGGCTAGCTGCCACCTTGATGGGAATATTCTGTGTATTGCCTGGGGATCCTCTGTCAACTCTAATCTTTTGTTGCAGACCTGGCAAACGATCCCACAAAGGCAAATGCCTTTGGTGGCATCGTCCAGGGAATCAGTGAGAGAACGGAGACCAGAATTAAGGCCCCCCCCCTTCCATCTTCAGAATCAG